ATCTAATAGAAGTAGATTTGAATATTTTTATTAAATTAGAGCAGAAATATGAATACAACATCAGAAAGACTGAAATTTGAGGCATAGGTTTTAGTGGAAAGAGGAAGCACATAGAAACAAGAGCAGTTGTTCAACTTTAAAATACTTCTCAGAGGGGTGCCTGGGTGGCTCAGTCGGTTAAGCGTCCGACTTCGGCTCAGGTCATGATCTCACGGTCCATGAGTTCGAGCCCCGCGTCAGGCTTTGTGCTGACAGCTCAGAGCCTGGAACCTGTTTCAGATTCTGTGTCTCCCTCTCTCTCTGACCCTCCCCCGTTCATGCTGTCTCTCCCTGTCTCAAAAATAAATAAACATTAAAAAAATTAAAAAATAAAATAAAATACTTCCCAGAAACTTTTTCCTCTTTTTATTATAAAAATTTGGACTCTGATGTATATATTTGTAAAATGAGTCATATTGGGGGATATCTTTTAAAATTCATTATTTCATCTATTTTTTCAATGTGTGTTTTACATAGTTGATTTTGTACCACAGAAGTATATTTGAGATTTTGGTTTTCACTTAATATTCTGTAATGTACACTTTTCTTTGTCATTAACATCTTTCATTCATAATATTCAGTGGTTCACATGGCATTTCATTTTTGTTATAATTTAATTAACCTTTTCTTGTGTTCCTATTTTTTCTCTTCTTGTAATGTGGCACCAAACGTCTTTGTGCATAAACTGTAATCTCCATTATTTCCTTTGGACAGATTCTCTGAAACTGGATATACTGGAAAGATGAAATATTATGAAAATGTTTTTAATGTTTATTTTTGTGAAAGAGAGTGCAAGAGGGGGAAGGGCAGAGAGAGATGCAGACACAGAATCCGCAGCAGGCTCCAGGCTCTGAGCTGTTAGCACAGAGCCCCATGTGGGGCTCGAACTCATGAGCTGTGAGATCATGACCTGAGCCAAAGTCGGATGCTTAACCGACTGAGCCCCCCAGGCTCCCCAAGAATGAAATATTTTTAAGGGTCTTAATACACTTTCCCAAATTACTTTGAAAAGTTGAACTAATATACACTTTCTAAAGCAGCAGTATATAAAACAAAGTGAATTACTTAGGTTTTTCAGAGGTATTCTCTGAAATCAGTTATCTTTAAGTAAAAATAAAAAATGGATGCTTTATGATAAAAGTAAACTTGAATATAAAAAAACTTTTGACTCTATGGATAGGTTTCTGAAGTATTTACTATGTTTCTCAGCCTATCAAAAACATATGAAACAACATTAAAATGGAAGTTACTTTGCTGAAGATAAAGTACATATTACAAAGATAAAATGAAAAGACATAGTGATTTTATTGTGGAAAATGAAACAGGAATTCTGAATTCTAGCCTTGGTTCTGCTACTAACTGACCTTGGACAAGTCCCTCCACTTCTCTAAATTTCAGTTACCTTATGTGGAAAATGAGGGCATTAGATCACAAAGTTCCTGAAAGGTGAAAAACAGAAGCTAAATATATGTTAATTATTGTAAAGCTCTTGCTGCTTTCAAGATGCTGATCCTTTATTATTTGAGGTGGTCTGATATTCAATAAATCACTAAATATGTAAAATTACTTTTGATTTATGCTTTTCACCCTTTTGGTTCTTTCTTAATTCAGGCCAAGGAGTTCCTTTGCTATGCTTTGGCTGTTCCTCATCCCTTTTATCAAATCTTTGTTAGAGAGATTTGTTAAGAAAAATGTAGAAGCATTGTGCTTTACTAATACAAGAATATCTAAATAACATTGCTGTAAGTAGCACCTTGTATGAATAAGTTTTTCACAGTGCAATGGTCATCTAAAAAATGGATATCTATTAATTGTAGTTGGTTAGTCTATGTTGAATTACTATTAAGTGGGTCAAGTAATGAATTATAAATAACTGTTCCATTTAAGTGATTTTGTCAACTAGATGGTAGAGAAATTAAAAGCTTTGTATTCCAGATTTCATATTTTTATTGCAGAGATTGTGTAACTACTGAAGAAAATTAGATTTTATATAATAATTAATAGTGTCCATGAAAACAAAGTTTATATCCATGTTATGACAAAATATATGAAAGAAAATCTCAATGTTCTATTTATTTCTCATTTATTTAGTCATTTATAGTAACTTTGTTAAGTGCGTTATAAGAAGACACAGAAGGAAGATAAAATGAGTCTTCTCACAATTTTCTGGCTATTTTGTAAAAACTAAACATATGCACATAAGGATAAATAAATACAACAGAGCATGTGATGAAAGTATATTGCTTGTCAAGATGAAATCTCTAATAACATAGAAGGTTAGGAACTAATCTTACATTTCCTTCTCCCTTATTTTTCACAGTTGATCCCCAGATTCTACCCCTTTTAACTAAAAAGTGTATCTAGAATCTATCAATTTCTTTCCATTTCTACTGTTACCACTTTTGTTCAGGCCATCATTATCCCTTGACCGAAATTATCTAGCTTGTCTCTCTGCTTCCAGTTTTGTTTTACACACTTGATTCTGTGCCACAACCAGGGTCTTGTAAAATTGCAAAACTGCTTATGTTTGATGGCTTCTCATTTCCCTAAGGATAAAGCCCCAAGGCTTCTAAGCCTTCAATGGCTTCTAAGGCTTTCTGTGATTGGACTTTGGCTCAAACTTCTAGTCTTGTCTCTCCCTCCTGTCCGACTTACACTTCATAGTCCAAACACGCTGTATTTATCATTCCTTGAATGTGACCTGCTCCTCAGTTTTAGCAGTACTTCCTTAAGGAGATACTCTCTGATCCCTAGACTAAGGTCAGACGCCTTGTTACTGCTCTTACATTGCTTCCTATTTCTTCTGTTATAACAAAATATATTTAAAACATGTTTAATTAACTGGCTTTTGTGATGGCATATTATTTGTTGTCATGAAGTCTCTAGCACCAATATAGTGTCTGACACATAGAAGATGTTTGATATTTCATACATGAAAGAATGAATATATAAAGGGAGATGATATAGTTTAGGAGGGTATTATTCAGAAGATAGGTCTTCAAGAATGAGTCCTATTTTGATTACAGTAAGAGAGTAAATATTGCATAGATACAATAAGAGATTAAATACTGTTTCCCTACATACTTTTTTCATCTAGGTGTGTGATTGTATACATATAGCGGAAATAGAAATACTGCACAAGTTTAGTTAGAGGTAGTAACTTCTCTAAAGGGATAGTGTGAATCAGACTATTGAAGAAGCCCGATGTCTTTATTGTTTTACAAAAAACAAACTGTATATATTTAAGGTGTAATAACTGTTTTTCCCAGATATATTGAGATATAATTGACATCCAACGTTGTGTAAGTTTAAGGTGTATAACATGTTGATTTGATACATTTATATATAACAAAATAATTATCACCATATTATAACTTTCAAGTCTATAATACTATATTATTAACTATAATCACTATGCTATACATTAGATCCCCAGAACCTATTTATCTTCTAACTGGAATTTTGTACTCTTTGACCAACATCTCCCCTTTCTTCCCTATTTCCTGTCCCTCACCCCTCAGCCTCTTAAAGAAGCCCAATCTTTAAGATTCATTTTGACTAGTCTCCCTGATAATACATATTATGCTCATCAAATGTCATGAGTGGGAGAAGGGAAAGTATACTGAGTTATTAGTCTATATATAAAACATTTTCTGTAAGCACTTCAGCTATCATTAAATTTTATTTAGTTTATTTCACAGGTTTATAAACAAAATGTTCACAAGTATATAAATGAAGTGTTCATTAACTCAGGCTATACATAATGTGAAGGCTGTTTTAGGATAATATGTTGTACTTAGTGTCCTAACTTTGAATTCAGTTAAATTGATTATAATTTTAGTCTATTTTTTGTGTCATTTCTAAAACACAATCTTTTGCCACATGGTAAAGAAAATATTTTCAATATTACACTGTGTATTAACTAACTGGAATTTAGTGTTTAGAGCCCCCCACAAAAGAAAATCTTTTCATTTATAATTTTAGAGGATATTGTTTTTCTGTTATCAGATTGCTTTATCAGTCTTAAATTTCCTGATTCCATGATGCTGTGGTGAAAGAAAGCATTATAAAAACCTTGTTGAACACAAATAAAATTCAGTGAAAAATCACAGTAAAAATGCTAATAGCTTACATAAATTTCTTTCCTAGGTTTAACCATGAATTTTGGAATTTGATAAAAGCACATTGTATTTTGCATGTTAAACTCTTTATAAGAAGATCTTAAAATATAAAAGGTAGTTTGATTTGAAGCATGTTGGTCTAAATAATATGAGATAAAAATGAAGTTCCTAGGAATTAAAAGTGAATATGTGCTTACCTATTTATTTATCGACTGTTAAACACAATTTTCAAAGATTACTAGAATAAAAATTCTTCATTTTTAAGGACTTCTAATTCTGATGGGTTGGATGAGTGATGATACATATGGTTTGGAGGGAAGATTCCTTTAAAATGGGAGTACAATTTGCTTATTAAATCATTATCTAAAGCTTAGTCATGTACGAAGAAAACTGCCTAATAATTAAGAGTTGATATTTTAACATGGTATTTGCAGCAGACACATTGGATACTTAATTAAGTAGAACATTGCTTATTTTTTTTTAAAGGATTGACAAAATCAAACTCTTCTTGGCAAGTGAAATTTTTATAGTAGCAGAAGTGGGAAATCTAAAGGATGTGGCTCATTCTCTGTTTGGATGATGCAGAATTGCTCCAAGCAGTAAGCTTACTGTTTTCAGACAGCATTAGCAGCTTCAGCAAATACAACTGTGTCATCGTCCCTTAATACGGGGGTGTTTGTAACCGCAAAGGGGAGACGATAAACAATATATGAGATTTGATATCTTCTTGATGGCTTAAACAGATACTGATGGACAGATCTGCTGTTTGATGTTTTCTTCACTAGCCCTGAAGATGCTGAGACATAGAGATGGCTGTGATTATCTTTTATAAGACAGGAAATGCAATCTTTAGGGGTTTCTGGAAATAGAAAGGTCATGCAGTCTGGAACCTGTGAGCCTTTTCAATCTCTAAGTCATCAGGTATGCTCTCATGAATTATGATGATACTATTAGATTGTTGAGTTCTTGCTTTTTCTAGCTCTTAGTCATGTAGAATATATTAATCAATGTAATTGTTTATTATCAGATTTTTCTTAGGAGATTTGAACAAGTGATATTTATAGTAATAGACACCAGCTGTGAACAATATGAATTTTAGAAATGCGTATGTGTGTGTTTGAGTTCATGTTTACTTTAGGTTTCTTTTGAGGGGGACAAGTGAGGAGTAAGGAAAGAGATCCTTTATTTGTAATTAAAAGCAAGGTTTGGGGCTCTCCAGATTTTTTCAGATTAAGCCCGAATACAGTCATGTGCATCTCTTATTTCGAATGATAAAAATAGCACAATTTGTTCAGTATGATAAGGATACATCATAGCTGGCTGCTTATAGATAGTGAAATATTAAAAATTTTTTTATCTGGAATTTCTTAAGCATAGAAATAGATGTTGCTACCATTGTACAACCACACAGGAATACAACTTTGATGAGTAGAATCGTGTTTGCCCACATCTAAGCTAATTTCCTAAAATTTATATTGCAGTATCTGAACTGTTTTAAAAGGCATAAGTTTAAATTATTTCCCAGATCTATTGAAATAATGATGCTCTTACTCCTCTTAATGTAGATGTCTGCTGAAGGCATTGCTTGTAGCTGAAAGCAGATGATAAATCTATTTTTTGTTTTTGCTTTGTGTTGTTGTTGTTTTTTTTACAGAGAATGCTTGTGACATTTAAGCTTGTTTCAGATTTTTTGATACAAAGATACTCCGCATTAGCTTAGTTTCATTTTCAAAATTAAAAGACTTGACTACATTAAACATGTTAATTACAAAGAGTAGGGAATCATCACAGCAAAGAATTTGGATTTATATGTCCGTTTTATCTTGAAACTCTGCTGGTTATCTTAAACTATTTTTATTAAGGTATAATGCATTTAACTTGGTTTTGTTATATCTTCAGAATTGGATAAGACACTGTGCCCATGTTTGACATTCCAATTTTGAAGAAAAGGATATTTTATATTTTTACATTACACATATTTCTTCCTTAGTTTTAGAGGGCTTGTTAGATATTTGACCAGGTATTCCATTTTAAATAAGCAAAAAGAATGTTGCAGCATTTCTCAACAGAAAGATGGCTTTGTTTTCATGATTTTGTAGCATGATTAGGATTTAATGCCTCATCAGGGTGATGCTATAGTAATGAAAAGGAGTATGTTTATCAAAAGACAGAAGTGGGAGTCTGAAACAGTGATTTACTTCAGTTAAGGGGTTGGTTTCTCCTTTTTAATTAAAAACACATTAAAAATTATACCTACTGATATTGGCTATAATTTATATGTTATTCAGGCTACTTAGCCAGCTTATATTCTTATTAGTAGGGAAGATTGCCATATTCTTAAGCTTGATTAGTTTTGGAATGATTTGGATATACCTTTTAGTTGCTACAAAACCTGTTTAATCTGTTAGAATTTATTTCCAGTATTTGCATGTATTAGTCGCTATGAGTACATTCTGTTTCTTGGCATTGCTTTGGGATTCTTCTAGGTATTGGTTTTACAGCATTCTGCTATTTTTCACTGTATTTATGACCTTTCAAAAAAACTAAACCATAAAGATTTTTGGTTATTTTCCTTTAGTGGCACTTACAGGATATCTCAATAATTTTGTAAGGTAAAAAAGCTACTGCCTTAGAGTTGTCATTTCTTTTACATGTTGGAGAAAAAGTTCTCTCTGTTGCTATGTCAAAATGCATTACCTTAAAAAGTAAAGATTGGTTAGAATGTCACGGACAGTTAAATTTAATGTCAACCCTTTTTCCTGTGTGGCCAGATGATCTTGACCTTTTGAATGGATTTGATTGTAAGTCTGCCCAGCAATGATTGGTCATCTGCTTTTTACAATGGCTGCCTCTGTCTTTACTATTTTACACAAACATTTTACATCATAAAGGTTTTCTAAAGGTAAGCTGTCTATAAGCAACGATTTGAGTAATTGTTCCGTTTAGTCAACATTATGTGGACTGAATTTGCACAATACTGCATTTGGTGTTGTGAGAAGTACAGCAAAGAAAAAGTTGTGTTTTGCTTTCAAGGAGATTCTGAGAAAATATACGCAATGAGCCATGCTCATGTTTTGAATTGACTTTTCAAAGACGGTATGCTACGATCAGTTTTAACTTGATTTATAAACTAATGAATCCTTGGATGAGTTACATGTAACTCTATAATGCATAATTTATTGTATCAAGGCATTGTAAAATATTTTTGTGTGTTTTATGAGCCATAGTTGGCAATTTATGTTGAGAGTAAAGGTGGATGTAACCCATTGGCAGGAAACAGAAGCAGGGACCTTAAGAATTAGCTCAAAAGAGGGATGTGACCAGTCTAGTCTCATTGTGTATTATGGAAGGGGACTTTGACTTCATAGGGATTAAACTTTGGAAATCAAGACTCGCAAGTTTGGGAGCGTTTGATGCTAACTAGGTCATTAGGGAGTTTTTTTCAATAAAATGGGGGCAAATGAGACTCACTTTAGGATTTGAGAAAGGGAACTGAGAGAAACTTATATGGATGTAGGCCTTAGCCAGCTGGCTGTTGCACATCCAGGCACCACTTCTTTTCACTTTCATACCAGTATGCTGGCTAAAAGTAGCAAGGAGGTGGGTAGAGTGGATACAAAACCCTTGTTTCTCCCAGAATCCTAAGGTGGGGCACACTGCCCCGTAGTGCCTACAAAGTGCCTGTTCTCTTGTATCAGAGCAAGAGAAAATTGACTTCAAATTCTCCTGGTTTGTAACAGCTAGCTGGCTGCAGTAAGATGTGGTAAGTATGGTGGTTGAGTATCTGGACTGCCGTGTTCACTGGGTTCAGATCTTAGCTATACCACTTACCAGCTATGTGATCTTGGGCAAGTTACTTAACCTTTCTGGGTATCCGTTCCCTCATTTGTAATATAGAAATAATAATGGTACCTATCTCTAAGAGTGGTTGTGAAGATGAAATGAGGTGATATATATAAAACATTTGTAAAACTACCTGGTATTTATAACAAACACATTATTGCCAAAATTATATGTTGACAGACATTAGTATGTACATTCTCTGAGCTAGGAGGAGCTATCAGCAGGTGTTAGTAATAGTAGTTATGTAGTTTACTTTTGTTACCTTTCCTTCATTTTCCTTATCAAATAAGAAATTGAGTCAAAAACATATGGTATACTGAAATAAAGATGGCTATAAAAATGCAAACAAGGAAAAACATCCTACATCTGATTGCATTGTAACATTTATTAACTATAAGAATTGTGATTTGATGAAAAATGTTGTGTTTAAAGTTTTTTTTGCATCTGCTTATAGGCTGACTTAAGTTTCTGTTTGTATTCTGTGTAAAGATTCTTTGCTTTCTTATATTACACCAACTACTTCATTCATGACAAAAAAAAGATTATGGGGGCTTTGCAGGTCTTCCTTAATTGTAGTTGAATATTAAAATTCAGGAGTAAATATCCAGGTTTAAGGGAAATAATAGAGAAATTATATAGCTTAGACTTAATGATCTGAGTTATTTTTTTAATCATTAAAAATGTCCAAGAGGTCCCTGGGTGGCTCAGTCAATTAAGCGTCCAACTTCGGCTCAGGTCATGATCTTGTGGTTCATGAGTTGGAACCTGGCATCAGGCTCTCTGCTGTCAGCACAGAACCCAATTTGGGATTCTCTCTCTCTCTCTCTCTCTCTTTGCTCCTACCCTGTTTGTGCTCTCTGTCTTTCTCAAAAATAAGCATTAAAAAAATGTCCAGTACAAAAACGTTCACTGACAGTTAAACACACTTGTTTTATTTGTTTCATTTTAGTTTTATTGGTTAATGTTTTTATTGTAGGTGAAAGACTAAAATGATATGTGTTATAAATCCAATACTGTATGTGAATAGACCTATTCAAGTTCCTATTTGATAGATTATGCTATTTTGAATTGCTGGTGTTTATTTAATGTAAAAATATCTACAGTTGACCCCTGAACAATGCGGAGGGGAGGGGTGCTGACCCCTTGCACGGCTGAAAATCTGTGCATAACTTTGACTTCCTTAAAACTCAACTACTAAGAGCCTGCTGTTGACTGGAAGCCTTACTGATAGCATAAACAGCCAATTAACACCTATTTTGTATGTTATATGTATTACATTCTGTATTCTTATAATAAAGTAAGCTAGAGAAAAGAAAATGTTAGGATAATCATGAGGAAGAGAAAATACATTTACAGTACTGTGTACTGTATTTATATTTAAAAAAATCCACATATAAGTGTACCTGGGTACTTCAAACTCATGCTGTTCTGTCAAGCCCCAGAGTCCAAGTGAGTAATTTGATAGTTGGATGAAATACACATGCTTAAGTGTTATGATCTCTTTGCCTTTTAGTTCTCTTCTCTTGAGCAATTTTCTCAATGTGCAGCTATTTCTTTCAAATTGGCACAGGGTCAATCATATCTCAGCACAGTGCAATTTCTTCAAACAAACATACAAAATACTATGATGTTCTAGTAAGCACAGTACTGGGGAGAGATATAAAGACCAATAGGTCCCTGCTTCAGGAAGTCACAGGTAGTGAGTCATAAACACTAAATACAAGGCACTACAACAGAAAGTAGAAAGTAGTAAGTGCCTTAGAGATTCAAAAGAGAGAAGAAAGAAGCGTAAATCATGATGCTGTGAATTCAGTGGGCAGAATATTTCAAGCTGAATGGGGACAGGAGAGGAGAGGCTAGATGAGAAGGTAGGGAAGTCTGAAAAGGTAGCATCTGAGGTAGACCAAGACTGGCCAAGATGGGAAAGGTCCTTTGGGGCAGAGGAAACAACATGAACAAAGACATGGAAGCAGAAAGCAAATAGTATGTTTGACTAGTATTGACTAGTTCATTTTGGCTATAGCACGGTAGGAGAGTTCAGGCTAACACAGGAAGGTGTGTTGGGACCAGATAGTACA